CTTATGCCAGCCAAATCAGCATGAATTCCCTTGGCCACAGGGCTTGTTCAAGAATGGACCCCCCACAGATAGACAGGCCTCGCTCAGGCTTTGGGAAAATCTCCAGTTCTCTCTCAGTACACTTGAAGAGAAGACACAGTTTGGACCTGCGCTCTGCCAGCTTGACACATGTTGTGGAGTATGTCTGAGGAGGAAACCAATCTGAGGTAGGCAGAATTTGCAACAGAGAAAAACTGGGTTCTGGTGTCTTTAGTTGAGCTCTGCATGAAGCTGTGTTTCAGTTTGCCCTTAAAACTAGGGTGGCTTGGATGTTTTCTCCAATTGCAATTGAGGGAGTCCTAACCAATAAGAACACATTTTCATGGCAAAAATTTCATATACTATATCAAGTTAGACAATCAAAAGTGCTTTGATCACTGTGACCCAAACCCCAGTCTCCTCCCAGGGGATTATTGTTATCTGCTGATATGTATCTTTCCTATGCATTTACTTAACGTGTGATACAGAAATGCAGTTGTGTGTGACCTAAATAGCATCACGTGTTCTACATATTCTGTATTCTGGCCCCTTTCATTTAAAAATAGCAGTGTATATCTCCAGACAGTTCTTCAAGTGCAACAAAATGTCTAACTCTTTAAGTGATAATCTGTCTCAGTGGACAACCCATACCTGTAATGGGTGAAGGTAAAAGATGATATGCCAGATGCTTCTGTAATTGAAAACAGATTTTGACCAAGTAACTGTGATTAGCAGATCCTAGACCAGCCGTGGGCAAACTACGGCCCGCGGGCCGGCCCGTTTGAAATGAATAAAACTAAAAAAAAAAAAAAGACCGTACCCTTTTATGTAATGATGTTTACTTTGAATTTATATTAGTTCACACAAACACTCCATCCATGCTTTTGTTCCGGCCCTCCGGTCCAGTTTAAGAACCCACTGTGGCCCTCGAGTCAAAAAGTTTGCCCACCCCTGGCCTAGACAGTAGGCAGGAAAGGGAGCTGGACAAGAAAGCGAATTTTGACTGTTTCATCCTAGATGAAGAAACAAAGTACAGTAGAAACAAACCCTTGGCCAGGTCTCAGCTTGCTATTTACTCCCAGCAGTGCAACGTTACACAGCTGTTGCTAATGCCTGTTTCCTTGCCTATAATATGTGTAATGTTTATGACTCAGGCCGAAATTAAGAGCAAGTACCAGAAGCATTCGGTAAGAGCAAAGCACTGTTCAATTTGTGGGTATTATGACTGTCTCACATTCTCTACCTATAGGCCTTTGAAGCTCTTCTCCTGTTTAAAATATCTATTTTCAATATAAGTATAAAGACCACTTGTTTTCACCCAAGAATTTAGCTGATAAAAACAAGGTACCAATGTTTGAAGCATTTAAAGCAAAACAGAGACATATTCATTATTTAATTTCTTTCAAAACTCTGAAGGTGAAGTGCATATTCAAAGCAGTTTCCTTCCACAACTGCTTCTTGACCTGCGTTTTCTTCCAGGGGTTGAGTCTCTTAAACTTAATACGACTAAGTTTCTGACAATATAGGCTTAGTTCGTTCCAATCAACTGAGGGGAAGTGAAAATGGGAGGTGGATGTAGGAAATACCAAGCTTTGAAATGAGAAAATCCAACAGCCTCTCTCACCACGAGTGAGCTCAGAAGCCGTTTCAGTGGGGGTGAAGTGTTATACTCGAACCCACACCTGTCAGCACAGGCACTGCTCCTAATCAGTACCATATTGGGCTGAGAGACCCCCACCCCCAACATCATAAGTATGAAAAAACAATTATTTCACCCAGTACTGCCACAAATCTAACACCCACCAACTGTAACATGGACTGTTATCTTATGTGCCACAAAAATAAAAATAAAAAAGAATGCAAATTAAAGTTGAAGAACTGATAGAGCACTCAGGCAACATTTAGTTGCTTTAAGTGATACAGAACTTCTTATTTGTTTTTAAAATCACAAAGCTATGTGCCTGGCTGGCATGGCTCAGTGGTTGAGCATCAACCTATGAACCAGGAGGTCATGGTTTGATTCCGGGTCAGGGCATATGCCTGGGTTGCGGGCTCAATCCCCAGTGTGGGGCATGCAGGAGGCAGCCAATCAAATTGATGTTTCTATCTCTCTCTACCTCTCCCTTCCTCTCTGAAATAAATAAAAATATATTAAACATATCTGAGAATTCAAAAAATATTTGTATTAAAAAAAAAGTAAAATATCGGATTTTTTTTACTGTGCCCAAGACAAGACACAAAAAAATTTCAGCCTGTCAATGAGATTCAAATGTCAGGCCCAGTTATTTCCAAACTTGTGTTTCTATTTTGATGGAGCACAGCTGTGGCAGAGACCATGCTTATTCTTATTCTGTCCCATCATCACCTCTATGACATTCACTCTGCAGTTAGTTTTCTGAAGGGCCACTATTCTCTTGCAATGTGGATACAGCAATGAACAAGAGGTACCAGACAAGTAACTTTAGGTCTGATGGGTGCTAACCAGACAACACCCTGGGGCACTGGTTGGTGTAAAACCACTGGCCTCATGCCCCTGCCTCAGCATCTCAGATCCTGAACCTGCTCACCAAAGGGGTTTGAGGAACAGGTTCTTTCTGGCTGTCTCAGCCCATATGCATTGCATCTGGCCTTTCTTCTGTTTTTGTATACAGCCAGGCCCTTATACGCCTGGATGTGCTCCCACTCCAGCTAAGAAAACAGATGGACGCTTACAGTGTTTTGAGGTAGGAGTGACACATTAACAGATAATTAAGAAGCAATGTAGCCAAGTACTACAATAGAGACAAACTGGGTATTTCAGAATCCTAGAGAGGGGGTGAGATGATAAGAAGAGTGACACTGAATACCGGGAGTGGATCAAGGATCTACAGGACACATATTGCATCACGTAAACAAAATCTTTTTGGCGTGCACAAGAGAAGCAAAGGCGGAGGTGAGACATAGGGCAGGTACACCAGCACCCAGGAATGGTTTGCTGTTAGCGCAGGAGGCAGCCATGTAGGGGATTAGGCGGAAAGAAACGGGGAGGAGAGGTGATTTGCAGGCCTGGAATTCCAGGAAGGTGGTGAGGAGATCGGAGCTGTTTTAGGAAGATGACTGAGCTGGTTTATGGAGGATGGGTTCAAGGGGGGCACAAGAGGAGTCAAGGAAATCAGTTAGGAAATAAGCCAGTACAGAAGCCCAGATGAGATAAAGAAGATAGGGGCCAGAAAAGAGTAATTCAGGAGATGAAACAGGTATGACTGAAGGATACTGGATGTGGGGGTGGGGGTTGGAGAGGGTGAGGAAAAGAGAAGTCCAGGACAATGCCATGAATCCAGCTCGAGTCTGAGTGGACAGTGGGAACAAACTAAGAACAGGTGGCAGATGGGCAGCAGAAAAGAACAGGTTTTTGGGGGAAGAAAATGAGTCCCTTTCAGGCATTCTGAGTCCGAGGTGCCTGTGGGACATCCAGGTGGAGAGGCCCAGTTAGTGGGGCACAGCTGAGCTGAAAGTAGTGAACGTCTTGGCTACACGTTTAGATTAAAAAAAAAAATATTTTATCGATTTTTTACAAAGAGCAATGGAGACGGATAGAGAGAAACATCGATCTGCTGCCTCCTGCACACCCCCTGCTGGGGATGTGCCCGCAACCAAGGTACATGCCCTTGACCGGAATCGAACCTGGGACCCTTGAGTCCGCAAGCCGCCGCTCTATACACTGAGCCAAACCGGTTAGGGCTAGACGTTTAGATTGAAGCGCCTTCAATATATCTGGGATACCTAAAACCAGGAGAGTAAATTAAGTCTGTCAAGGGAGATCCCAACACAATTGAAATAGAGAATTTTGTTCTTCATTCCTCTTTCTAGCAGACTTCCCATATTATTATATTTCCTTTTTTTCTGGGTGTCCTTTCCCAAGTAAATAAACTGACAATGTCAGTATAGGGGGAGGTAACACGTATTGTTTCAAGTAGACCCCCAGTGGACTAGTAAATAAAGCCAACTTGATCTCAGTGCAATAGAAAGCCTCCCTTTCGTATGGCACAGTTCACACCTCAGGGAGCACAAGGATCTACAGGACACATACTGCATCGCGTAAACGAAATCCTTCAACAGCACCCGCTGCTGCAACTCCAACCCCCAAAGTGACCCGGCCTCACCCGCCCTGACTTCCTGGTCTCCCCCAGCATTTCTTGGGCCTGCTCCGCTCTTCCTCCCGCCTCTGCTCGGCTCCGTGCAACCTCGACCCAGAGCGGCCTCCCTGGACCACCGCCTACGATCTCCATTTCCGTTATTTACACTACGAAGGCTCTGCTCTCCTGACCTCCCCGCCCCGGCTTTACGAGCACAAGTTCCTCTAGGGCAGGACTGTCTTCTCCCCCGTCACCCCAGCTCCTGAAAGCACGGGTCTGAAGATGGCACGATTCCGTGAGGCGCCCAGCAGGATGGATCAGGCTGAGCCTGGTACGTACGGCATCGGCTCGGTGTCGGACAGACGGGGTCTACTCTCAGTGTCCTCACTCGCTGGGACTTCCATCAGACTCCCTAACCCCCGGCAGCCTCTCTCCCCCAAATGTAAAACGAGACTAGACCCCCGGGGCGCACACACACACACAGGAGCACGCGGCCGGAGTCGGGGCGGAGCGCGGCCCGTCCTGCCGCCATGTGGCGCGGCTGACCGCCGGGCGCCCACCTGTCTCCCGCTGCGTCTTCACGCTGATGTACTGGCGCAGCTTCTTCACCGCCCGGTCCCGGATGCCCTTCTCGTGGGACGCCAGCCGCTGGGCGAACTGGATCTCGGCCGGCTGCATGGCGGGGGCCCTCCAACCCGCCGGAGCATCCCCGGCCACAACCCGCAGTCCCTCAGCCTTCCGCCGCTGCCAAGCGACCGCCGCCGCGCCGCTTCGGCCGCAACTGCGCAGAACGCGGCGGCGGCGGCGGCGCGCGGGGTGATGACGTCACAAAGGCGCCGCCGGCCCTCGCAGCGCGTTCTGGGAGCGAGCGCCGCCGGCCCGGGCACAAGCCAGTGGTGGTTGGCGTCGCTCCTTCGCTGTTGTTGGGTCGATAGGGCGCCAGGCCGTTGACGGCGAGGTTAGCCAGGGCTGGGTCTTGGCCAGGAAGAGTCGGATGGCCAGTTGTAAAAGGCCTAGAATCTCTAAGTCCACTCACAAAAATACCCATTTGGTTGGCAGCTGTCTTGCAAAATACACGGCACCGAGTTTTTAACTGTATTCGACTTCTGGTACCGCCTCGGCAGGTGGAGCCTGGGAAGAAGGGCCGTTCTTCGCTTTCTTGGCGGGATGTTGGGGACAGCCCCATGGAGAGGCCTCCATGGCCAGGCGTAGGGAGCGCCCTTCCCGCGTCTCCCCGTGTCTTGGTCCTGGTGCAGGCGCAGGTCCCAGTGTTGGCGCAGGTGCCTGAATGCCAGCAGGGCAGGGTCCAGGGCAGGGCATGGCAGGTCCCTGTGCGGAGGTTGGGCCTGGGGCAGGGAAAGGGCAAGTGCAGGCAGGTTCCAGGCGGGGACAGGGATCTGGAGTGTCCTCGTGAGACCGCCCTCAGGCTTGGAGAGCACGCACTCTGGGACTCGGCAGTGTCCACTTCCTGCGAGTTTCAGAGACAAACGAAGTCTTAGTGACTTGGTGACTAAGACTTAGTCGTAAAGTAACTCGGTGTATTTCAACCCTAAGCTGCACCGTATTTTGAGGACCCAGGGGGCCTATCTGGGACTAGCGAGTGGACTGGGAGACATCTCCAAGTTTATGCCGGTCATCTCAGTTAGGGCTAGCGGGCTGCACCGACACTCCCTAACCGGCAGACTTCCCCAAGAACCTATTGTTAGACGCCGTCCACCCTCGCTAGAGGAGCTCGGACCGAGCGCGGGCGGGCAGTGCCCTTGAACGCATGGCCCCTTAGTTTAGCATCTCTCCGCAAACAGTATTTCACTCAATGCTTACACCCGGGTCTTACTGTTTTTCCACTTGGCAGTGACCAAGTTTAAAACCCCAGCTAAGCCCGAAGATCCGACGCGAGACCTGGCTGTGCCCACCTCAGGCCCGCGGGGCAGAGAAGGCTGCGCCAACTCGACGAGGTTTGAGCCTTGCCGCTCTCCATACCCGACCGCCGTGGTGCTAGGTTCTCGCGCTAGTTCCCGCGCATTCTGGTGTGAGGGGTCAGAGGGCGCCCCGCTGCGCAGCGCAGGCACCGGGAGCCAGGGCCGCGGCGGCCATGGGCGAGGCTGGCGGCGCTGAGGAGGCCTGCGGGGTCAGTGGGGAGGCCTGGGCCGCCGCCCGCGTGTCTGAGCGGCCACCCTTTGCTTACGTAACCTCGCTTACTGCCGACTCTGTCGGCCTCGTCCAGGGGCCTGAAAACGGCCCTGGGCCTCTTTGAGCCGCTGGCGTGGCCTGGGCCTGGGATGCAGGCCGAGCGACTCTGCCTCTGATCCTGGAGGCGGGTCCAGGAGGCTGCGCGGTGGGCGGTGGTGCCCCTCAGACACCCGGAGCCGGAGCCGACCCTCCCCGCGAGGCTGTGAGGCTGTGTCGGGGCTTAGTGTAGATTCCCAGTCGCCCGGATGTCGCTTCCACCACACGCGATGGAGGAGGATCTTGGTTCTGTCCCCTGTTAATGGCGGTGCTTTGAGTCACCCCACTTCCTGTGTCTGACCCGGGCAACCTGGAAGGGTTTACGGTGGACCCTGAATGAGGGGGCCAGCCGAGGGCTTGGGCACCCGGTAGGAATCTAGGAAACTCCCTTTCCTCCCAGTGAGCTGGGCGCTCAAACGTTAGGGAGAAGTTGCTGGCGTTTTCTTGGACGTTCAGGCACGGGGCCTGGTAGGCACGGGAAGAAGTAGCTCCCGTTGTGTAGGCTGGGGCGCGGGCTCCAAGGTGTGATCTGTACAGCAGAGGGCGCTGTAGGCACAGACGTGCGTTTGAAGCTATGAAGGTGAAAGGCGTGAAAAGGGAAACACGCTGAGGGGCCGCTGGTTCTAGTCACCCGAAGAGAAATGTAATAATCTGAAGACCTGTTTGTTCTTCCAGCTTATGGGAACTAAAGAAGAGTTTGTTAAAGTCCGGAAGAAGGATCTGGAACGGCTGACGACTGAAGTGATGCAAATACGGGACTTCCTACCCAGGATACTAAATGGGGAAGTACTGGAAAGCTTCCAGAAATTAAAGGTTGTAGAAAAAAGTGAGTCTTGCTTCCTCCCTAGCAGGCGTTGTTGGTGACAGCAGTCTGGTCCAGCATGTTTACCTTACTTACATAGATAACGGTAAAATAATTGTAAATAAACCTCAAGGTACCGTTCTAGTCCTTCATTACATTTGGGAGAGTCAGAGAAGACAAAGTTAGAAAGGGAGGGGCTCGAATGAGTGACTGGGACCTGTGGTGTTTGTGTTGGAGGAAGGGTTGCTAGCTCTCTGAAGTATCTATTACCAGCTTCTCTTTCTCTCCACCTCCTTCCTTGGCAGAAGAATTTCATATATATATATATATATATATATATATATATATATATTTTATTGATATTTTTATGGAGAAGAAGGGAGAGGGATAGAGTTAGAAACATCAGTGAGAGAGAAGCATTGATCAGCTGCCTCCTGCACACCCCCTACTGGGGTTGTGCCCACAACCAAGGTACATGCCCTTGACCGGAAATGAACCTGGGGCCCTTCAGTCCACAGGCCAACGCTCTATCCACTGAGCCAAACCAGCCAGGGCTATTTTTTATAATTTAAAAGCTCTGCTCCAAAAATTAAGTCCTTACCGGTGGAAGTTAAGGATCTTGCCATGCAGTTAAATGCATCTGTAGAGATGGCTGAATGTGTGCTTGCTTGTCTCTAGGCTGATGGGTTGGTCAGTTTCTAGCCCTTGTCCATTTAGACGATGAGAGTTGAGCTGAGCTGCCACATAAGATATCAATCCAGGAGCCTATTGACGTTCCTGGAGATATTCTAGGATTGATTCAGCACTTGCCTAATTGAAGCTGAATTATAATCAGTCAACTTTCAGTGGTTAAGGTTGACTCACCACAATGCATCCATTTGCCATCACCTGTAGAAAAGGTGCATGGAGGGGGTGTAGGTTGTGTTTCTAGCACTAGTCCAGGCAAGAAGTTATCTTAACAGTACAAGTTTCTGGTTTGTGCAGATGTGTTTGGTCGGGGGCAGGCACATTCAGTTAGCCAGGAGAATGCTCATGGTCGCCATAACTCCCTGCCCCGTTTATTGTCTCTCTGGAATCCTCAGATCCACTCTCCTCTGCCAGGTGCTGTAGGTTCCTGCAGAATGCTTGCCTCTGGCTCCCTCGCTGCCAGCAGGGCTCCCCAATGGAAGGCATCAGAGCCTCCACAGTCTCAGCTCTCACTGGGCTCCAGTAACACCGTTTCCTCCCCTCATTCCTTCAGCTGAGGGGCACTGCTAGTCCCTGGGTGCTCACTGTCCCTGTTGGGTCTCTTATCTTTGCGATCCCATAAAGTCTCACCATCTGGGTTGATTTGTTTCCCATCAGGATCCTGCTGGATATGTCCATGTCACTGGTCACCATGGCTTCAGATCATTGGCTTCTTAAACTTCCCAGTTCTGATGCATTGCTCACCCAGCAACCTTCTGAGAACAGTCAGTCATCCCAAGTGCATTTATCTTAAAGGAAGGAAAGTGGTAACTGGTAGCAGAGAGTGGCAATCTGCAAATTAGTAAAACTGGCATTCTGAGAAGTGTACCAGAGTCTCATGAACAGATGAGCATGGGCCAGTCTTTGGAGATCAGTCCTCTACCAAAATCAAATTGTGCTCACAAAAGCTAGGCCACCCATGAGTCTGGTGACATGATCAACATTAGACTTTAGGACAGTGATGGCGAACCTATGACACGCGTGTCAGAGCTGACAGGCGAACTCATTTTTTTGGTTGATTTTTCTTTGTTAAATGGCATTTAAATATATAAAATAAATATCAAAAATATAAGTATTTGTTTTACTATGGTTGCAAATATCAAAAAATTTCTATCTGTGACACGGCACCAGAGTTAAGTTAGGGTTTTTCAAAATGCTGACCCGCCGAGCTCAAAAGGTTTGCCCTCACTGCTTCAGGAGATCTTGTCCTTTCCCATGCCATGTGGTTACCTCTTTCCTCACTGATCTCTCAGCCATTTCTTCTCACTTTCCTCTGCTGACTCATCCTTCTTTCTCAGCCAATGGAGTTTCTTGAGGCTCAGGCCTAGGCCCACTCTCTCCTCACTCCATGGCCTCTCTGTGGGCAGTCTCTGCCCACAGCTTCAGTTACCGTCTTGGTGCCAGTGGCCCCTGCATTTATCTCTAGCTCAGACCTCCTCCAGGCTCAGGCCCTAACTGCTGTGCGGTATTTTTTCTCACGTGTTTGGCAGTCACTTAAAATTCTAAATGTTTGTCCCAGCCTAATCAGTCTATGGCCATCAGAAAGGACCTGGTAGTCTCCCAAGGTCAGGTTTATGGGCTCATTGTAGTGAGGGAGACCACACCCCAGAGGAGCCGGGGCATCGTGCCAAAAAACGAAAGGACAGAGCTGCTGTAGCACTTGGGCAGGGTGGAGTTAGGTGAAGTGCAAATGAAGTCATGTTTTGATGAGCTCTAAGCAAAGTAGGGCTGTGTGCCGAAGGGTCAGCATCAGGTCTCACTGCAGTGGACCCAGGGCCCGTTTCCTTGAAAACTACAAAACGTACATCGATGAGCACTTAGTGTCTAGAAATCCTTATTCGAATCCCTGCAGCTAGCTGGAAATCAAGGCTGCTGCTCGGTCCCAGTGATTTTGACTCTGTAGGTGAGAGTGGGCTGTTTCCTTCTTACTGGTATAAGTAAAATTTCTGGTAGTGTGGGATTTTACAGAATAAGCTTCTTCTGAATAAGAAACTAGCAGTCACTGAAAGAAGGGGTCATTATGACTCTTACAGTTGCAGTGTGTCCATGAGAGAAGTATTGTTTCGTGTTAACGTGGCAGCTAGCTTACTGTGTGTCTTGTCCCAGCCTGACAATTGCAGGACAGAGTTTCACTGTCTCAGAGCAAGCTCATTTTTACTTTCTACGTCCGACTCATTATATTAACCCCCCTCATGATATCCATCCTCCCTCCTCACCTAAAACTGTGCTGCCTGACTCTCCCCAGACCATCCACACACAGACCAATCGAGGATCCTCCTTGTTGCCCACTTCTCCTGCTCACTATTCAACCCTCACTGGTCTGCCAGTAAGTCCTACACATTTTCCCTCACGGGTGCAACCTGAGTTTGTCAGCTTACCTCCATTGTCACCGCCACCACCTGAGTCCAGGCCCCTATCATTTTGCCTGAATCTCTGCCTCCTGGTAGCATTCACTCATTGCCACTCTCCAGTCTGTTCTATGCCCTGTAGCCTAAGTAATTAAAAAAAAAATCCTCGTCCTAGCTGGTTTGGCTCAATGGATAGAGGGTTGGCCTGCGTACTGAAGGGTCCCAGGTTCCATTCTGGCCAAGGGCACATGCCTGGGTTGCAGGCTGGATCCCCAGTAAGTGGCGTGCAGGAGGCAGCCAATCAATGATTCTCTCTCATCACTGATGTTTCTGTCTCTCCCTCTCCCTTCCTCTCTAAAATCAATAAAATATGTTTGGAAAAAAAAAAGATTAAAAAGAAATCCTCACCCCAGCCCTGGCCAGTGTTCTCATTGGTTAGAGCAGTGGTTCTCAACCTGTGGGTCGCGACCCCTTTGGCGGTCGAACGACCCTTTCACAGGAGTCACCTAAGACCATCCTGCATATCAGATGTTTACATTACGATTCCTAACAGTAGCAACATTACAGTTATGAAGTAGCAACGAAAATAATTTTATGGTTGGGTCACAACATGAGGAACTGTATTTAAAGGGCCAGAAGGTTGAGAACCACTGGGTTAGAGCATCAGCCCGTGCACCAAAGGGTCTCGGGTTTGATTCCCAGTCTAGGGCGTGTGCCTGGTTTGCAGATTTGACCCCCAGCCCTAGTCAGGGAGTGTGCAGGAAGCAACCAATCAGTGTGTTTCACACTGCTGTATATCCCCTCCCTTCCTTGCTCCTTCCCTCTCTCCCTCCCCCTCTTCTCCCCTCCCTACCTTCTTTCTCTAAAAATCAATGGAAAAAATATCCTCAGATGAGGATTAATAGCAACAACAACAAAAATACCCGAGGATATGTTTAGAGAGAGGAAGGGGGAGAGAAAGAGAGAGAAACATCAATCGGTTGCCTCCCATATGCACCATGGCTGGGGATTGAACTCAAAATCTTTGGATCTTCAGGATGAAGCTCCAACCAACTGAGTGACCTGGCCAGGGAAGCCCAAGTAATTTTTAACAATTCAGTCTTTTTTTAACCCTCACCTGAGGTTATATTTTTTAAAATTTATTTTTATTGTTGAGAATATTACAGATGTCCCTCTTCCCCCCAACCCCTTTACTTTCCTCCACTTGGCTCCTGCCCCACCCCAGGCCTTCACTTTACTATTGTCTGTGTCCATGGGCTATGTAGATATGCATATAACTTCTTTGGTTAATGTCTTCCCACCTCCTCTCCCCTTCCCTCTGAGATTTGTCAGTCTGTTCCATGCTTCTATGTCTCTGGACCTATTTGTTCATTAGATTCCACACATAAGTGAGATCATGTGATACTTGTCTTTTTCTGACTGGCTTATTTTACTTAGTGTAATAATCTCCAGGTCCATCCATGCCGTCTCAAAGGGTAAGAGATTTTTTTTTTACAGCTGCATAGTATTCCATTATATAAATACTAGAGGCCTGGAGCATGGGATTCGTGCACTGACGGGGGGAGTAGCCTGTGGGGATCGCCTGCTATGGAATCACCATTCATCCTGGTCAGCCGAGTGGCTGTGAATCTGCCCTCTGAGTGGCTGTTCTCTGGTCCAGCATTCACCTCTCCAGGGGACCCATTCAGGGACAATAGCACTGAGAGGCGGCGGAGTAGGCCTCAATCCCGTGGTGGCCGTGAACTTGTCTCCCAGCCTCCAGGGTCAGCTCTGCGAGCCCAGCAGCTGCGCTGCACAGCCTGTGGGCATCCGGAGGAGGCGGCAGGGAGCGAGGAGGAGGAGCCTGGGGCGAGGAGCTGAGGATCGCATTCGGGTTCCTGCCTGTCAGCCCGGTGTTCACAGCAGGAGCAGCCGCTCATCCTGGTCAGCCAAGCAGCACCCCCACTGTGG